GGAAAGAAGGGCAGGAGGGGAGAGGGAGGAGTGCCCGCCTTATTCAAGGCCAACCACGAATGTGTTGGTCAGGTACGCAAAGATCGCCGAGGAGCAGCCGCTGTACGTCACGCCCGCCTACTCTCACAACCAGCCGACCGGCGCCGACCCGACGGCGGGCACGTACCCCAAGTTCGCAAAGACGGTGGAGGCGGAGGAGGAGGGCGAGGACGAGGACTGAGAGCCCGCCCGCCCTGTCTGACCTCCCGCCGCGCGGTCCGCGGTGTGCCCTGTCCTGCCCTGCCCAATGCGCGAGGTGGCTTCACGACGGCGCCTTTTCAGTCAGAGATAGTACGGTGTACGCACTGTGGGACAAAACTGGTGTCGGTGACTTTTTCACATCTGTTGCCATGAGAGGAATCAAATTAAGGAAACGGCTCTCCGCGCGCACTCCGCCTCCTCAGGGAGCGCGCTTCGAGAGAGCGAGAGCGCCGGTATCGCCGCCGCGTGCAAGGCTGTGCAAGGTGCAACGCCTCAGAACCCTAGGCGTCCTCTGAGTTGGTGGCTTGCTGCGAAGGCTGACTTTGCGGCACCATCATCGGACGATGTCGACGAGTTGCAGTTGGGTCGCTCTCGCGGTAGTGACCTCTCATGGTATACTAGGATCATCGGCCACATGGCCGCAGGGAGCGCGGGGGAGGGCGCTGGGAGCAACACGCTACACGGAGCTCCGTTGGACGTTGGTTCAAGATTAACGTGTCAGAGTGTATTGGAACTAGCCAAATGATGTCGCAACTATGGCGAAGAGGGCAGTCCAGAGACGTAGGCTGACAGCGCTGCGGGCCCCGTGCCGGAATAGAGCCGGCCACAGGCCGTGGCTCAGAGCGCTAACCTACGCTCCGAGCCACCGCTGCACGCACGCTAGACCAGACTGCCACAATCAGACACGGCTCACTCATTCCAAATACCGACCCCCCCCTCACGCACAGTCAGTGTTCAGCGCTTCTCAAGGATTGGCCCAATGCCGTTCAGCGGCACCGGACCAAGGCCCGCGCATGCAGGGGTGGTCGGATGATCGATCTGCAAATTACATGCGCGCCTTGCTTGGTCGTGCTCGCGTTGCACTAGCATCCTTCGTACGTTCACTCCTGTCCATTTTTCGCCTGATGACCCTGAGTGGTTAGGATCATTGGCCCTGCCGGTTAAGGCGATGAGGGGGGAGGCGATGAGGGGGGGGACCTGCACGTGGGCACCTGCTTTGCAACCTTCAGGCTGAGAGAGCCTGCGGCTGGGCCATTGATCGGGCACGTGTAGCCGTTCGGTGGGAGCTTGCCATCCTCGAGGTAGCTCAACATCCGGTCGTAGCAATCCTTCGCGCCGTAACCCTCGTTCTGGAACGTGTTGGAGGTGTAGTCGGACAAGCCAAAGTTGTCATCCAGAAAGAGGCCGTGGTGGTAGCCCTGCCAGCTCATCAGCGCGCCATTGGGAAACTTGTCTCGCATGTCCTGCGAAGCCGTGTACGTCGTAGCGGGGTCGTGAAAGTCGCCGATGATGAGAGGCTGCAGCTTGTCCAGCCCCGATCCGTAAGAAGGCACCGGGCGTGGCAGGTTGGGCGCCGAGACGATGCTGACGATATTGCCTGCGCGAAGGAAGCCGATCGGGTGTTTGTCCTTGAGGTCGGCCCAGAGGCGTTCAGTGTCCGCGGTGCTGAGTCGTCCTGCCATGTCGACGGAGCGAACCAGCGTGATAGTGGGATTTTCGTCATCCTCTTTTTTAAAAGTGTTGTTGTTGGCTGGAATTTGAATCTTACCCTTGCAACATTGGGATTTGGGCTGGTAGTCGCAACAACCCTCCCCATCGAAGTTCCCGTACTTGTGGAGGGACTCGACGCAAGCCATCATGATCGCGCCGCCGGGAGAGACGCCGCTATGCATAATTCCGCCGCCCTCGAAGAATTTTGAGAGGAGAGTAAAAGCCATCAACAAAAGCGTTTCGTCTGTCTGGGCGCCCAAGAGCTTGTACATTTTGTCCGTTGGATATGGCGTCGCCGCGCAAAAGTCATCGGCGGGGAGGGTAGGGGCGTCGATGCCGCCGGCCACAAAGAAATCGTTGTTGCAAGCTGCAGCGAGTCCGTTCCAAACCTGTTCGTAGCTGAGAGCCCAGAGATGCGCGGCCTCGTAGATCTCATTCGATATCGCGACATTTCCATCCAGGATCATCTTGTCGACCCGCTCCGGGTACACCGTCGCGTAGGTTGCGCCCACTTCTGTGCCGTAAGAGATACCCCAGACGGACAGCTTATCCGCGCCGATGGCCGTGCGAAGGGTGTCGAGATCGTGGGCCAAATCCTGCGTGCCCATAAAGTCCTGGTAGACCATGGTGCCGCGAGCGAGGTTGGTCCCAAGGTGATACTCAGGCCGCCTGCGGCACTCGGACTGCGCCGCGTTCTCGAGCTCGGCGTACACCTGCGTGGAGGGGAATAAAGGCAGATTGTGTGGCGCTGCCAGCGTGACTATCTCAGCGCTTCTAGCATGACGACACCTTGGTAACTCCGGGGTCGGCAAAAACCCCAACAAAGGACGGCACGGATTGAAGTTTTTCCCAGGCAGACTCCCACTGGGAGTTCAATCCTGCCGCCAGATACGCCGCCTTCACCTCATTGATCACGCGGATATCAAATGCCCGATAGCAGTAGATGTATGGGAAGGGCTTCACCCCCTCCTGGACCCATTTGTCGGGAAGGGGACCGAATTTGAAACCGGGAGGATTGTTCTCCTGAACGCCAGGACTGCGAGGTTGGATCCCGCGCTGAGCGATCGCGAGGTGGTGGTACTGGCCGCTATTGAGCAGTTTGAGCACAGGCGGAGCTTGGACCAAGCATTCGTTCGTGGAGGAAGGTCCGCCGCAGTGCGTGAAAAGTGGCTTCGCGTCGTGTGAGCAAATTTCCTCGTTTGTGACCGGGTCGGTGGCCTTTTCCAAAGTCACGCGAAGTGCGGTGTAGCCGAGAGGAATTCCGAGCTGTTCAAGGCTCGGCTGTTGGTGCAGAATCGGCACCTTGAGCCAGCCCACATAAACATTTCGGGTCACACCCAAGATTTTATCGTCCCATACGAGCAGCTCCGGGTCGGGCGAGCAGACGTTGTACTCGGGCGGAGGAGGCGCCGCCGGCGGTTGCGGCGGCGGCGGCAGAAACGGAGGCGGCGGCGGCGGCGGCGGCGGCGGCGGCGGAGGCGGACGAGGCGAAAGAAACGGAGGTAGCGGCGGCGGGGGAGGAGTCGGCGAACGGGCGATGGCCACGATCGAAAGCACGAGGGCCACGATCGACAGCACGGAGGAGGCGGTAATTGCGTTGCAGATTACCGCCATCATCGCCGGACGCGGCCCCGGGCCGGGAGGCCCCGGTGGGCCGTCGTGGCCGTCGTGGCCGTCGTGGCCATCTTGGCCGGGAGAACCCTGGTCTCCTTTCGGACCGCGCGGGCCGGGCTTCCCGGGCCCAGCGCAGCTCAGAACGTTCAGATCCAGGAAAGAGCCACCGCGCCGCACCGGCGCTTCGGGTTCGGGCACGACGGTTGGTTCGGGCGGCGACGGCGGCGGCGAGGGTGCGTCCGCGTGAGTAGACTTTGACTCGCGGCGCAGCAGCGCCGCGACGGCGGCAGCGACGACGGCGACGGCGAAGGCGACGAGCGGCAGCCCGTTCATCGCGAGGGGCGCCGAAACGCTCGAAAGGATGTCCGCCGGCAGCGCGGCCACCCCGTGGAGGCAGAGCAGCGCCAGATGGTGTAACGCGGCCATTTGTTACCTAACAATCAAGGTGAAACACAATCAACTCCCCCCTGCTCAACTAACAACCCCCCCAGCACCCCTCCCGTCAACACACACACACACACACACACACACACACACACACACACAGAGAGAGAGAGAGAGAGAGAGAGAGAGAGAGAGAGAGAGAGAGAGAGAGAGAGAGAGAGAGAGAGAGAGAGAGAGAGAGAGAGAGAGAGAGAGAGAGAGAGAGAGAGAGAGAGAGAGAGAGAGAGAGAGAGAGAGAGAGAGAGAGAGAGAGAGAGAGAGAGAGAGAGAGAGAGAGAGAGAGAGAGAGAGAGAGCGATAGACACGCGCACACTATCAAACTATTAGCCTAATAACGTACCTAATTATTAGCACATACCTAATAATTAGCATTTTTTCACCTATTAGCTTAATAATTAGCTTAATAGCAGCGTTATTAGGTATGTGCTAATAATTAGGTAAAGGATAATAGTTTGATAGTGCATTATTGATTACTGGGGGCTGCGGACTATACTGCAGAGTACTACGGCGCATCATATCTCTCACATCTCAGACCCCACCCCACCCGCTGCTGCGGACTACTGCGCGCATCACTATGGAATACTAGTCCAGCCCCCTACCGCCTCCACCCGCCCATCCCACCGCCCAACCCCACCCCACTCCCACGGTCACCCCCCACCCCTCCACCTTCAGCCCCTACACTCACCCCTATCCCCTACCCTCTACCCCCTGTACAACACTATCCCCGCCCAAATTCACAGCACCAGCATCAAATTGCATCTCTCCATTCAGGCTGATTGTGGCGCGCACCTACGGGCAGCAAACCGCGGCGTGAGCTTGCGTCACGACGAGCAATTGGCACGCTCCTTCACTGCCACGACACTCGGACTGTAGCCGCGGGCGAAAAGGCTCGCGAGCGGGACGGGTTTGCTCTCATGCTGGGAGAGAGGGCAGAGCGTCGGAAGCGGGCTGGCGCGCGGCAAGGCTGGTGAGTGGGCGGCATCGCATGCGTCTCGATGGTAGTGGCCGCACCTGCGAGCGGGAGCGCAAAGGGGGGCGCTCAGCTGACAAGCGAGGCGACAGAGGGCGCACCGCATGACGGGCGTGGTGCGGGCGCGGCGGGCTGCGCGAGCCGCAGGCGTCGCGGGGCCCACGGCGTGCGGCTCGCGGCCGGCAGAGGCGGCGCATTGCGGCGGGGGTAGCGCGCGAGAGATTGGGCCTTGAAAGCAAATGGAGGCTGTCTTGCGATTGAGGGGAACAGCGACCCGTTAGCGCGCGGTTTCTTTTAGCGTGAGCCGGTGTGTGTGCCAGTCCGCGCCAGTCCGCGCCCTTGTCGTGCCAGTGTGCTGTGAGAGAGGCTTGTATTTTAAGAATTCTTTTAGCTATCGTGTTCTCGAGGTTCGGGAGCTTCGCTGGAGCCGAGTAGGAGGGCTACCTACAACTCAGGTTGTACATTTCTCCACACCTCCGGACGTCGACAGTTGCCATGCCGCGCTCAGCGGCACCCCGATAGGTAAGGTAAGGAAGCTTAGTAAGGTAAGGTAAGCGAAACTTCTCCAGACAGCTCAGTAGCCAGTGTTTACCTTACCTTACCGCTTACCCCACACACACTCCGGACCGGACCGACTCCCGCCTCTCCAGCCTCCACCCCGTCTCCCCCCCCCCCCGCCGCCCCCCGCTGCCGCTCGCGCCTCGGTGCGCCCTCGGAGCGCCCCCTGGGCCACCTGCCCCTGCGCCCTGGCGCCTGGGACCGCATCGCGTTTCTGCGCGGAAGCCGGAAGGGGAAGCGCCGGAAGTGCAAAACAAGAAACTCAAAAGTCAAATCCCCTCGACCGCCCACCTCGTGCGGCGTCGGCCGGCGCGCCGGCGCCCATAGCCAAATTACCCACACCCCGGCATGTCGCAGTCACAAGAGATGGTCTTCCTCGCACACATCGGACCGCGGGCGCAAGGGCTGAGCCACGTAGGGGGTCGAGGACGTCGCTTGGAGCGGCCCGGGTACGGCACCGGGGCATGACGGGTGGAGAGGGGATCGGGGGAGGGGCATGCGCAGAAACCAGAGAGGCACACCATGCGGCACACGGGAGAACAACGGCGGCGGCTCATCCTCAGTCCGCGCCGCGGGCGCGCCACCCCCCGCCTCCTCCACCACCGCCCCCGCCGCGGTAGCCGCCGCCCCCGCCGCCGCGGTACCCGCCTGTGCGCGACGGCAGCAGGCCGTCAGGGAGGGGGCGAGAGCCGCGGGAGGGGGAAGGGGGGCGAGGGCCGAGAGAGCGGAGGAGCGCACCGCCGCCACGGTAGCCGCCGCCGCCGCCGCCGCCGCCGCCTCCGCGGTACCCTCCTCCTCCTCCGACGCCGCGGTATCCGCCGCGGTCGTCATACGAGCGGCCTCCGCCGCCGCGGTACCCCGAGCGGCTGCTGCCTCCTGGGTACCCACCACCGCGGCCGCGCCCTCCGAATCGGCCGCCGCGGCCGCCGCCGCGGCCGCCGCCGCCGCGGCCGCCAAGCGGGCGCAGCTCGGGGAGCTCTGCGCACGCGGAGATGGAGAGGACGCCCGAGTCGAGGAGGGTGGGGCGGCGGCCGGAAGGGCGCGCCGCCGCCCCGTCCTCGCCGCCGTCTGTGGCGGCGAGGGCGTCGAAGGCGGCGACGACGGCGTCCGCCATCTCGTCGGGCAGGTCAAACACCAGCTGCGGGAGGGGGGAGGGGGAAAGCGGCATTGTGCACGGAGCTAAGTGCATTGCCGTTCTTAACGGAGTCGCTTAGGCGGCTCCGGTGGTGTGCCTGTGATAGTGTAAGCACGCGCCCCAGTTCGCACCTGTGTCGAGTCAGTCTGCTGACCGTTGAGTTTGTTTTACAACTTCCTGCAGCTGCTCCGCTGCTGCGGATTGTGGATACGACTTCTACGATCACCCCGCCCGTCCGCCCCGCCCCGCCCGCCCGCCTCTCCCCGCTTGCCCGCCCGCCCCCGCCCGCCCGCCCGCCCGACCACCCATTCCCATCACCATCTCACATACCTTCAATAGGCGCTCGAGTGCTCCTCTCGCGGCCTACTCGCTGCCTCGAGAGAGGAGGGGAAGACGTAGGGTTGAGCTGGACTCGCCTTTCCTGAGGCCCCTCCCCGAAAGGCAAGTATTAGACCCATGAAACCGAGACCTCCCTCCCCACCGCCCCGACCCCCCCACCCCCTTGCTCCCCTCCCCCCCTCGGGAGGGCCGAAGAGAGGCGCCCGTGGGGACCCCGCAATTCCCTTCCCCCCTCGGAGGGGGCCGGACGAGGCGTACCCCGAGGGCCCCACTCTTTCCTTCGCATAGCGGCCACTCTTCGGATCGCTGGTCGAGCGACCCGGGGGATGCCCCGCGCGCCTGACCCAGGCGCGAAAACGAATCTGCGAGGCGTGGCCGCTCATGCGGCCCGATGGGGAGGAGCGAGGCAGACTACGGGGATCGGCTTCTTACACAGCCCTTCTTCCTTGCAGCGAGCCCCCCTCCAACCCACCCGCGCTAGGTCCTAGGTGACGTAGGGGAAACCCGGCGAGCCTGGGGAACTAGCCGGGGCAGTCGGAGAAGGGGCAACTCCGTGCACTGACGGTCGGCCGTCAGAAAACACGCCTCCGTGGCTCGGGTTACACCAATCCTCGCTACCCAACGGGATCGGCTTCTTACACAGCCCTTCCCTGCAGCGAGCCCCCCTCCAACCCACCCGCGCTAGGTCTCGGGGGACGCAGGGGTCACACCCGACGACCTCGGGAACTAGCCGGGGCAGTCGGAGAAGGGGCAACCGGCGGTTATGTCGAGGAAGCGGCTGAGAGGGTGTGCCTGCTTGCGCGCCTTCCCTGGGAGCTGCTGCTGGAGGTTGTCATGGCCACTGCGAGCATGTCCGCTGCGGTGCACCTCGCAATCGCATACCGACCGCTCTTTGAGAGCGATGACGTGTTCAAGCGCCTCTACGATCGGCGCTGGGAGCCAAGGGGGCTGCTTGAGCCGCTGGGGGCTCGTGACCTGTCCTACCGCAAGCTATGCGCCACCCGGCATGCCTTCGAAAGAGCCTGCATGCAGACCCTTCAGCGCCAAAGCTCTATGTCGCCAGAACAAATGCAGCATTTCCTCCTCCGTATTCCCAACGAGGGCATAGGAACGCCGCAGCGGCCGGAGACGGCGGCTGCGTGCATCCGGAATATGCTGCCAGCGCAACATTGGAAGTCGCCAGGCGTCGCCTCAGCTGACTATCGACCCTACAGGGCTCCGTACACGGCCGTACGGTCTGCGCTTCCGCGACGAGTATCGAGTTCGCCCGGGCCTTCATGTGCTCGAGGGCGACTTCCATCCTTCCGGCGGCGGCGGCCCGTCCGATATACGACAAAAACTGCTCCTCCTCCCTTCTTTGTTTTACACTTTCGCCACGCTCCTTCAAATTCCGTGTAAACGAAACCCGGGACGCAGAAGGTTTGCGTTTGAACGATGTGCTCGTGGCGTGAGGCACGTACTGTCATAGCTGCTGCTGCTAAAGTTGGCAAAGGGCACCTCAGTGCACGCGCAGAAGGGGACGCACCACTTCTTCGTAGTGCCGGCGCCGCACCATATCGGTTGCCACAAGGCCGACAGACCTTCGCGCTTGCGGCGGCGCGGCGCTTCGCATGCCGCGGCGGTGTGGTTCTCGCCCAGCACGCGCCGCAAGTCGCCAGCGGCAGCGCCAGGGAGCACCGGCAGCCTGTTGCAGTCAATGATGGAGAAGGCGCGCGTCCCCGGCAGCTCAGCGCGCTGCAACGGCGGCCCGCTCGCGCGCGCGAGCGCCTGCACGATGCGGCATTCAGGCCAGCCCCAGCGGTTGCCACACAGCCCATTGGCAGGCGTCAGAGGGATGCAGCGTTCGTATTCATCCGCCACGGCGAAGTAGGCCTCGGCGGCGCGGCGGGGCATCAGCGCCAAGCTATCGTCCAGGTGCGTGTTGTCCCGCGCCAGCGGTCGCGACGCGCCCTCTAAGAACCGGCTCTTGTCCGTCGGGTCGCGCAGCCGGCTTATCCGCTTGTGCTTCTCGGGCCGGCACCACGTGCTATGACGCTCAGCAATCATGGAGATCATCGACCACACCATGTCAGTGCGCAAGCAGCGCCACTCCTCCAGCGGCGGGAACGCGCCGCTGAATTCGAGGTCGGGCCGCACACGCAGCACGAACTCGTACCTGATGCGGCGATCGCGTTCCTCTGCGAGCAGATCCCTCCAGCAGCCGCGCCACTTGACGCTTTGCTCGTACCCGGCCGAGAGGCACTCGCCCCAGTCCGCGCGCCGTGCGGGCTGCTCGCACGTCCCCACTTTCCAGGCGACGAGCGACTGCGCAGCAGCCTCCGCTGCGCCAGTGCGAACGCGGTCACGCTGCTCTCTCTGAGCGGTGTCTGTCGTGTTGCGGTAGATGACAACCCGACGAGCGCCCAGCGCCTCCGCGGCACTGTGCAGCTGCGCATCCGAGTGGTAAGTGCCGTCCAGGTGCGCGAATAGGTCGGCGCGTGGGTGGTCGATGAGCCCACGCATCACTGCCTTCCAGTGGCTGCGATAACGCGAGCTCTCGCTCGCCATCGGCTTTGGCCTGCCAGAGAGGCAGATGAAGAGACGTGGCGTGGCGGCCACACGCCGATGGATGCGCACAAGGCTACCGTCCGATGGCTGCATACGTTCCAGATTCTTCGCATCAGACGTCTGACGCCACGACCCACGACCCACACGACCCGACGCCATGGATGGGACCTCAGGCGGGAGCCCCCGCCCACACGTGCGCCGCTGCTGCGTTTTTGCAAGTATCTAGAACTAGATACTACTTGCGAAAGTGCCCCTATGGCGGCGGCCCGTCGCACTGGTAACCATACTCTGGCTGCACTCACACCTCCGGGCGCGCCTCCGCCTCCGCCAGCGCTACGTATGCGCCTCCACTGCACACCCTCGGTCCCCGCAGCTTGGCTGGCCGGTGCGTCATCCGCTCCAGGGCACGACGCCGGCGCATCTCCTCGTCCGCCGCCTGCAGCCTCCTCCGACGACAACGCGCCTTTGACCGGAGCCGCATGAGCAGATGGCACAGGCCTGCTACACACACCATGCACACCGCCACCGACGCGCCCGTAGCGCCGAGGGCGACGGCTAAGGGTGGCACACCCGAGCGCTCGGCCACGGCCTCTGCCGCCTTCTCGAGGGCGCCGACGCGATCCTCGACCCCACTCTGCGCGCGGCGCACAAGCTCGGAGGCGAGTGCGGTGGAAGGCGCCGAGCCAGCGAGCGCGTCTGCGGCCAGCTCGACCAGGCCCCTCGGAGGAGCGGACGGCACTGGCGGCAGCGGGGGCGGCGCGATGTAACAGGCAACCACCGTGCCGCTCACGCAGCGGCCATGCCACTCGCACAGTTGGACGGTGCCCAGCCCGCTCGACGTGTAGTAGTGATTGCACCAGCGCTGGCTGAGGCCCGCCGTCTCGCAGATCCGATCCGCGTGGCTCCTCGTGTCGTTGCGCTCAGCATAGCGCTCCTCGAGGCGGCACGGCTCGCCCCGGCTGGTAAAGTGATCGCGCTGCAGTGGTGGCGGCGGCGGGGGCGGCGGCGGCGGCGCTGCTGGCGAGGGCGGCAGAGGGGGCGGCTGGGGCGGGGGAGGGGGCGGCCGAGGCGGCGGAGGGGGTAGTGGAGGCGGCCGGCGCAGCGTTCGAGGCGGCTCAGTGCCATCACACGAAGTATCGCGGCCGGCGATCTTGCCGTTGTGCTCCCAGTGCCATTGGAGGCGCTCCCAGTCGCACAAGGCGAGGTTGCCGTCGCAGTACCCGTCGAGCAAGTCAGGGTAGCGAAACGCGTAGCAGGCGAGGTCGCCCTCGGGATCGGTCGGCTTAGGCGTGGCGCTCTCGGGACCGGTCGGCCCAGGCATGGCCTCGCGAGCGACGTCCCCCGCAGCAGCAATGCGCTCGAACTCCTCCGCCCTGTCGGGCGAGCTGAAGCACTCCTCGGCGGCGACGCACTCCTGCCTGTCCATCCGCCACACGCAAGGGATCTGTTCGATCACCAGCCCGAGGCGCGCAGTCACGAGGTGCCGAGAGCAGGAGCTCTTCTTCGTCAGCGAACGGCACCACTGCGGGGGCGACAGCGCGCTCCCATCCACCCTCTCACCAAGGCTGAAGCACCACATCGGCCGCGGTATGGTGTGCTCCGACACCGCCGATTGCGAGCCAGGCGCGCACGGGCACTGCTGGCAGGCTTCGGCGGTGGCGCAATTTCCCCAGCTGTCGGTCAAGCACCAAGCGGCGCAGCCAGGCTGATCCACCGCGGCGTCCAAGGGTGCAGCTGGACAGACACAGGTGTGGCAGGCTGCGGCAGTCCGGCAGCTGTATGCGTCGCGTTCGCACCATGCTGGGCAGTGATCGGCGAGCAGGAGCGTTCGTGCGGGCATCTTACGAGCCGACGCCCCCATAAAGCCTGTCCACCTACAGTGGGGACACCGTGCGCACGACGGGGCAATCCTAGCGCAGGCCCCGCACGCGGCCCTGCTGCCCTCCCGTCGGCTGAAATCGACCAGGCCCATCGCCGTGGGCCCACCGGCGACTGCGGCGGCCCTAGCACCGGCCGATTGTTTGAGCGATGGCCTGTGCTGCGGCCGTCTCGGACGTTTAAGCGGCGCCAGCCAGCGGCTCGGCCGCGCATCCTTCACACACGCCGCCACAACCGAGATGAGCGGGCCCAGTGTCGAGCCTTGATGTGAGCTGCATGTGCGCGGCGGCCGTGGCGACAGCAGGTCCACCAGACGGACCTCAAAGCTTGCCGTCGGCGTGCTGTCGTGGCGAGAGCGCGAGACAGCTGCAGAGGAGCCGAGTGCAGTGGCGAGCCAGAGGCTACCTGGGTCACCAAGTGGTAGCCCTTGCCCATTCTGAGCAGGGCTGTGCTTTGGTGGGGTTGTGCTTGAGCGTGTGTGAAGTGGAAGTGCGTGCCGGCGGTGTCTGTGGGTGAAACGGGCGTGTGTGAGGCCGTAAGAGCCATGGTATGAGCCAGAGTGGGCTTCATCACCCAAAATAAGGACGGTTTGGGACAGCTCAGGCTTGATACTGATGGGCCTTGGCCAGGAAAGCGACAGAGAAGGCGAGGTGGTGAGCTGGGAAGCCGCTTTGTCTGCACCTGGACCAGACACCTGGACGTGTCGTGATGAACTGCCGAAAAGTACTATTTGCGGCTATTGCTCAAAACTTCGGGAGACTAGGCCTACCTATTATGACTGCATCCATGCGTCTGGTGCATGAGGGCCGCGGGTCGGGACATATCACGGTCGGTGGCGCCGATAATGACCTCCGGAATGCCCTCGCAACCGCTCGGCAAGGGGTCCACCGGAGACAATCTCGAGCCCTCTCCGTGGCATCACGAGCCGGTGTGAGCTTGCAGACCCAAGGTAAGTGCGGTCTGGGACGGCTCAGGCGTGCTACTGATGGGCATGGGCCAGGAGAGCGACAGAGAAGGCGAGGTGGTGAGCTGAGAGGCTGGAGCGTCCGCGAGTGACCTTGACGCGAAGCACACGCCACC